ATTTGTTATGGCGCTCATTTAATCTTAATTTTTTCGAAACAGGTTTAAACAGGTGTTCTGATAACCGTAAGGCCGCCATGCCATTTACGTGGCCAGATAATTTCCCATAAGCCAACTCGATAATTTTAAATGTTTAACTCGACGTACGTAATATGTTGCACAAATAACACACACTGTACCGGAGATATCTAAATAGGATGGCATGGCGGTCATAAAAGAATTGTGTGAAGTTTTCACATTCCTGCATACTTATTTTAAAATTAACCAAACATTTCTAGGCAAAGTACGTGTGTTACGTTATGTTAGATTTTTGAAAATTAGCAACTCTATAAAATAATATTATCCAAATCAAGCAATTATTCAAATTATCACATAGCGGTAATAAACATGGCTTTTTTTGAAAAGAATATAGAATCTAGAATGTCCGCGATCTTACAAATCTATTGAGTCTCCCTTTCTTGAATTTTAACTTATCATACAATCTCACGGCTTTGGCAAAAAAAACGGTTTTACAGAGTTACCTATGTCTGCGTTTACAGAACTTTGTCGTAATTTAATTTAGTATTTTACTATTGAAGATTATTTTATTGTTTCTGTAATTTAACTGGTAGTAATTAGATTTCCCTCAGCTTTGATACCTTCTGAACTTATTTAGCTTTATAAAATAAGACAATGTATAGGAAAAATAGGCTATCCTATGGATCTTAAATAACTACGTTAAAAGGCGAAGAAGCACTAAAAGTTTAAAAGTGGAAATCAAGTCCCTAGTATTCTAATTTCATAGAATTTTCATAGCTTTCTTTGTTGTGCATTATTAATTTTCTTTAATTGCTTTATATTCATTATTTTCTTATTTTATTATGTGTAACTAACCGAATATTACTCTCCTTTTTGGAAATAATTAAAAAATAATAATTCTCGAATTAATAATTCTCGTATCTACTATTAGAAAGAATCTAAAATATTTACATCTATTTATATTTGAAATAAGTTAAAATATAATATTAATAGATCTTAATACCTACTTGCCATAGCTTTGGAATAAATTTCTGGATATTATTTTTCAATTTCTAGAAGAAAAAATATCGAAATATCCATCCTCGATATCAATCGTACCAAAGTTTATGCCACGAATGGTTGTAAGGTTATAATGGTTGCTTTTAGTGCTTTCTTATCGGATAAGATGGCTATTTCCTATCTAAGATAAATTATATGCATCTTTTGATAGAGTAGATTTCTGCCTGAGGGATGCTGGGGTAGGTGCCTATTGGTTCGACTATTACGTTTTCGCCCTAAATACTCCTATTCTTGTCCCTGCTTTGGTGTTGAAAGCATCAATATACCACGTTATGGTATGGTTGTGATCTTGTACTTACTTCTTATCTTGTACTTGCTGAGCAAACGTTTCTCTCTTCCAATCCTTTTTATTGCTCAATACTGCAGTGAGGTTTTTTTAAAAGTTGTACATTTTTGGTATTTTTTAATAAATTTATTATAAGTAAGAACATTTCTAGAAGTTTAAAAATCAGAATGTACCAAACAATGATAAGACCAATAGTGCTGTATGCATATGAATCGTGGACGTTCAATGCAACGGAAAGTTTGAGGCTAGAGATTTGGGAAAGAAAAATACTGAGGAAGATTTTTGGAGGAAAGAAGATAATATATGGACGAGAAGAACAAATGAAGAATTGAAGCAAGTATATCGGGCACCGAGTATAACGGGAGTAGCAAGAGCACAAAGACTGAGATGGCTGGGACACATTGAAAAAATGGCTGAAGAAAGAATTCCTGGTATGATAATGAAACGTGAAATAGGTGGAAAGAGAAAGAGGGGTAGACCGAGAATCAGATGGAAAAAGGAGGTAGAAGAGGACTTGAGAAGGATACCCAAGTAGCATTTGGACGTTATCTAACGTCGGGTATACGTCGCGTTCAATAAACCCGACGTCGGGTACCAACGTCGGTTCGACCGCCTGACGACCCTTATTTGCACCTAAATGGGGAATACAGATTCGGGTCACCCCGACGTCGGTATCTGACCTAATAGGGAATGTAATTCTACCAATTACCAACGTCATATTACGTTGGATTTTAGTCACTTATAATTCGTCGCTAAGCACTTACGTTATGTTTGGTTTCACATTCGCTACCAAGAATACATAAAAATCTAACCAAACTACCTAATTACAAATGGATTCATAATCACTTCTCGAATATAACTATAAGTGCCTATCTAATTTCATATTATAATAATTCTGAATCATTAATCCAGACATCAGTTTTGTCAACGGAAGTCACTTTTTTGATATATCTGATTAAAATACTCCGGAAAACAACGAGCGCCTTCAAAATTAGGTAGATTTGTGAAATAAAAATATCTATAAAAAAGTTACTCGCAAAATATTTTTTTTAATTTTCTAGCTGGTTTAATCATAAAACTGTACTGTGGTTCCCCCCAAACTCAACCTTATCAATATTATTCTACTAGAAATCGAAATGTGAATATAAATTTTAAAAACAAAAAACGATTTTAAAATGGCTGACAATCGGATACGTGTTAAGAATGGCGGATTTCTGTGTCCGACTTAATATGAACTACCAATATACCAATTCCAACCGGGTCTCCAACATTAGTCGTCTCACACGACCGAAGTCATCAAACCGGACGACCGGCAATCGCATTATGACGTATATAATTCCAACGTACGCCACATAACCTCACTTTGCGTATCAGTGCTTTGTGGATTTGTGCAACTATATTTTAGTTTTTGTTTTTTCCTTAAAAAAATGGGCAATCACTTTTTTAAGCCTAACCTCACATATGGGAGGAGGATGGGGTCTGCTGGTTTCCTAAGCTAAAAAATGAAATTAAGATGCACCAGTGTCATGCAGCATCTCTTCCGGATAAAAATCATTTATGGGTGGAGGCAAGACATCACTACTACTATTATTATTTTGCAAATACCTCGACCTCTTTCTGTAAAATGTAGATAAATGTCTAAATGCCTTTTTAGTGTTTTTTAGGCATAAGTTTGTTTACAAAAACTTTTTATTAGGTTATGTTCATGATGTTCATTAGGTCGCAAATGCTACTTAATGGGTTGTATTTACGGACGTAAATAGAAATACGTAAATTAGGTTATAAATATGAACATAAAATACAACAAAATATAATTGGACGTTACTTGAGGGATTATCAGAGAGACGTATCCTATTCGGACAACGGGTAGACGTCGGGCTAGTTCAAGTATATGTACGTCGTGCAATCCAACGTGGGAACGACGTTGGGAAATTAATAAAAATGGTACGTTGTTATTTTGTACGTCGACAGATCGTTGGATTTACCGACTCAGATCCAACGACGTCGCTTTTAATAGGAAAGCGACGTCACGACGTCACAGGTCGTATCACCAGCACCCGACCTAAATTTGCACAAAGTCTGACGTCGCTTCAGGTCAGATTTAGTTCGAAGTCAGATAGATACTACTTGGGTAAGAGTGGATGGGTGGAGGATAACCAAGATAACCAATCAAGCCATGAGCCTTTTAGGCTTTTAAAATTTTTCTATTTACATTTTCGGTATGTCATCCACTGAGAATTGGAGGAGTGAAATTTTCGTTTTGAGGATGTTCCAAGTCCCTGACCTAATAATTCTCCCAGTACTGTTTCGGGCAATTCTAATCATTGTCGCATTGGTATATCTACCGACGACAATGTGCAGTGGTGTTAGGTATAGAATGACCTCCCTTGCTGCTTTTTACCTAATATGTACAGGGTGTTTACGAGGTCGTTTAAATAGGGGCAAAGTTGCTCGATTTGATTATCAAAATATGATCAAATGATCAAATAAAAATTTAAAAATTCCGTATGCCTCCAAATATTTTTGGAAAAACCGAATATTTGCATCTTTATTTTTATAAAACAAATTCCACAGCTTTTTGTGTTCTACAAGATATAACATTATCAAATTTTTAAACCGACGCACGGTGGAGTATTAACATGAAAAAGGTGATCGAAATTCAAAAACGCAAATGTGTTAAGATTTCCCAAAAAAAGATAAATGATAAGTTAAATCATGTCTGTCATGAATGGCGTTGCTATGGGTGTGTTTAGTTGCATTCATTTGTTCCAACGAAACGTCAAAGTTGTTACTTCTCAGAGATAAGAGGTAAATGGCTAAATTTTATGTTTAAAATTATAAATTATTGTTGTTCTTGTGCTCCTTTTACGTTTGTATTATTGTTTTGATTGAAAATGGCTCAGCAAGCTGCAGGTATGTATTCTACAAAAACATATTATTTATTTTGATATTCTCTATACTAACGATTTTTTTTTCAACTAAAAGTTAGGCATTCAGAAAATTTGATTAAATTTGTGACATTTTTATTATTACTTAGAGATTTAGTTGCGCATTTCGAAGAATTCAGCATATTGTCTATATTCGTTTTACTTAGTAAACATTAGGCTTTCATACAGTAAAATATAATACTGCGAATTTTTGCGACTTCGCTGATAAAATGAGAAAAACATTCTTGGTTTCCTCTAATTTGCTAATCAGTGATGTACTAATGTGAGGTGTAAAACGCGATGGCATTGTTGTTTACAAAGCGATCGCATTAGTGCCATTAGCAGTATAGCACAATTTGGCATTAGTAGCGGCTTTAGTGATATGGGAATTGGTCGCGGATCAGTCGTAGCGTTAGTAGTATTAGTTGCGATATTACCATTAGTGGCATTGACCGTGGAAACACTGGAACAGTGATTTTTCTTTCTTTTTTTTAGAATCGCGAATTATCCTTTATTTTGTTCATATTATTTCCTCTTTAATTAAAATAGCAATAATTTATATAAGGTCTACATAAACAAATTTCGATCAACTATCGGTGTCAAATACCCCACTGTGCGACGTTTTGCCGTCAAGCTGCCATCATGAACTTTAATTTTTAAATACTTTAAAATTATTCTTTCTATGCATTTAACGTGTATATCTATTTCAGGTATTGTATAACCTCCTTCCCGGAAGATATTAAAAAGAAGAAAACGACAAACTCGGATATGAAAGTGGCCTTTAAAAAAATATGGATCGGTATACTAATTTTAATGCTGGTTATGGGGGCCATGGGATCCACCCATACCTCAATAACGTCCCTTGTTGTATCAGAGGGAAGTGGAGTTTGGGCAAGTATGTATAGAAGTATATTTGGATAACTAACCTTTTTGAAGTGAAACTTCTTAATACGCGATGGGAGTAAAAATTCAAGGCCGTGACACACCGCGGCCTTGACACTTTACGGCCTTGACAGACGAGCTAGCGAGAAATTAAGTGGTAAGGATCGCACGATCGCGCAAACACCAAAAAATATTTGATTTAAAGCTAAGAAATGCATTATAATAAACTTTATACTGTACCTGATATGGACCAATATCATCTGGCTGTGTTAGGTTAGGTTAGGTTAGGTTGCTGGGGTTTGGGATCATGTTTGATCTCTTACTCGGAGGCCTTGGACCCATTGCGATACTCCTGTATTGTTGTACCAAATCTTCCTCTCATTTTTTCTTTGCGTTAAAGCACTTTCAGCTCTTTGCAAAGTTCCCGATGTCGCTGATGTCGGCTTCTGCTGCTTCCTCTAGTCCCTCCAAAACACCTTACCCTAAAGTTTTAAAGCGTCGGTATTCCAGTGCCGGACAGTGGCACAGCAGGTGCTCTATGGTTTCTTCTCCCTATCCGCATTCTCTGCAGTAGTCGTCGCCAGAAACTTTCCATCTCACGAGGTTTACCCTCATGGGACAGTTTCCAGTGACGACACTAGTAGTTGTTTTCTCTTTTTGCTATCTGCCACTCACTGGCCATAGTCTTCGAGCTGTAGCGCAGTCTTCACGGTGTTCCCACATCTCTTGCTGCTTGGCTTTGATGGCAGTTCCTATAGCTTCCTTCAGTGTGTTGATCGTCACAAGTGGTGGGTCATCTGCCACGGCCTCTCCCCTGGCCCCGTCTTTGACGAGTCTGTCTGCTTCCTGATTGCCCACCACATTGCTGTGGCCTGGCACCCAGCAGAGAGTAGCCCCGCCCTGACGCAGCCAGGACAGTGCTTCTCGGCATTCCATCACAGTTTTCGATCTCACTGATTGCATGGTAATGCTTCTTAAAGCGGCCAAGCTCTCAGAGTATATCACTATATCCCCTATTGGTCTATCAGCAATTTTCTCTCGTATACAACTAGCCGCTTCCTTTATGGCGTAAACCTCTGCTTGTAGAACATTACAGCCATCCGATAGCCTTAAAGATCGTCGGATGTCTAGTTCCTCTGAAAATGTGCCCTCTGAAGTTGCGGAAGCATCTGTGTAGACTGCTATCTCTTGAGTGTTGATTACTCGGTTGCTTTCCCACTCTTCTCTTGTCGGGATGCGAATCCTATACATAATGAACAAAACATGTAAACATGTAAACAAAAGTAATACAATATCAAGTTGATTATAGTGATTTTCTTAGCTGCGTATGGCACAGATCGTTACCCAGTGTTGCCACAAGCTTATTTTTCATCGGGGTAGACAGCGGGGTTGATTGTTTTACTTAGCGGGTCGAGATAGCGGGGTTAAATTGTTTTACAGAGGGGTATCTTCCCCGAATAGGGTAGCTGCGGCAATACTGCCGCTATCACTTTTCCTTTTGCTAGCTCGCGCGTCACGATCGTCTCTCGTGACACACGGCTTTGAATTTTTACTCCCAACGCGCGTAAAGAAGTTTCATTTCAAAAATAATATTTTAAAATTTACTTATGACGTAAATATCTATTGCTGGGTTAAATTAAAATATTGATCTAGTAGATATTTATATTTTAATCCATTGCTTTGTTTTATATATTGATATTATCTATGTTAATGTAATTTAATTAACGTAGCACAATACTCCTAAATTTTTGAAAGAAAAAACGGTTATTTTTTTTTTCAGAGAAATATTTCAGTCCTGTCGCCACATTCTTATTGTCTGATATCTTTCTGCTGCTCGGCAGATTTGCCTCTTCATATATCCCAGTGGTAAGTTGAATATAACTTCTCTCACTATAATCTCTCTAACATAGGCCCGCTTGTACAAACATAGCTTAAACTCAAATTCAAGTAAACTCTGAAAAATGCTAAACTCGACAATTTTATGACGCTTTTTTATGACATAATACCCTTCTAGATTTACCACTTCTTAACCAAAGCCTTTGTAGAATAAATAATAAATAACAAAAAATAAGCTCGGAAAAGCTCAACTCATCTACAAAATTTCAAATCAAATTCAAAGGTGTCAATTGAAACTACAAACAGAACTGTCAAAAATGGGGTTCATATGATTTCGATTCCATCTTTAATGCATGAATGTATACATAGCGTTAAGCTGGATTTATGAATTCGGGAGTTGACGTTCAGTTGAAGTTCAGTTGCAGTTGGATGTTAGCGGCACTTGAGATTCAACATTTTTGCATTTATAAACTATCAGTTTCGGTTGTAGGTTAGGTTTGGAGCCGTGAAAGTTTCCAACGTTTTTCTTTCGATTTAAAAATACTTTTGATATTTTCAAAGTTCAAACATAATAATCCTAAAAATATAAACATTACAAAAACAGAAATAATGAAACAACAATAAGGGTCATTTTCTAATGCACCTCATTCCTGTGCTTCACGTGATCGACAGGCGGTTACTCATTGGCTGCCGTTCCAACTGCCGAACGTCGCGAACTATCGACTTAAATATTGAACAAATTATCTCTGAACTCCCCTGACATCTAAATTTAACCTACCTATAACAATTGAAACGCGAGTAACTACTAATGCGCGATGCTCACTATACGTAACGCCACCTGATCACGTCCTGATAACCTCACGGTTTTAAATTTTAAATCGCTCATATCTGAAAAAATCAAGGAACAAGTTAACAGTTTGATTTAAAAATAACAGTATTGCGCTTAAATCCCTAATTTTAGTACTGTCCTAACAAACATTGTATGTACCTACCTATATTTCCATATTTAGTTTATCTATTTTTATTTTCGTTTCAGCGCTAACTTAAGTAGATTAAATGTCAAGCCAAAGACTTTTTGACACCATATTTCATAGCAAAGGTCAAAAACTAAGCGTTTACCTATTAAAATAACTGTCTAGCTATAAATTGAGATTATAGCGCGTGTTCAAGAATGTATAACGCACAGCTTGAGTTTAAAGCATATGGTTCGTCGCGCCTATTTTATGACTATATATGCGAAAATAAGCCTATTTGAGTCATATTATTGTCACGTTTAGACATGCTGAAGTATATCTGTAATAACAAATATGTAATGGATTAACTACATTTTTTTTATGAAAAGTGTATTCTATTGTAAATCATCCCTTCCCAATGTAAAAAAAAGATGGAATAAAATCGCTATCATATGTAAAATTATACGAAAAATTTAATCGAGCGCCATGTCCTTTTTAAACATTGTCTTGAATGCTTTTGCAAAAAGTTTTATTACATTTTATTAGTTTATCAACAATAATTTATACTTGAAATTACCCCAGACACAGGTCTATGAGATTTCTTCGTAAAAAAGATGTTGAAAATCTTATACCAGACGCTAGAAAATGGCATCAGAGGAGACTTGGAAATGAAGCTCTTATTTTATATTAAAAATTATTTGGGGAAGTTTATCTATCGTCATTTCAGAGCCAACGCCACGCCGCGCCGCTACCGTTTTGTTTTTCGGTTGTTTGTGCATTTTCCACGTCTACGCGGTTTTTTTGTTATTTTTTGTCATTGTATACAGGAGGTAATTGAAGGGTTGTTTTTTACCGTAACTTTAAAACACCCTATGCAATAATTTCATAAGTAACTTTTTCTAAAACATTATTTTTCCATCAGAACCATGTCTCCTAAGCATTTAATTTTTTGACTCATGTGAACACAAGCCTTGGTTAATTTTTAAGAGCAAAATGAACTTGCCACCAATTTGCCATTTTATCAACCTTATAACAATGTGCAATTTTATCAACTAGCATTACTTTATGTTGGATTCTATCCCTTTCTCGCATCCTTTACCAGAAAAACCTAAATGGGTACGTACTCAGCGAGAAGCAGTGAGACAAGATCGGCCGAGTACGCAGTGTGTACACCACGAGCGCGCGCTATTCTACAGTGTTTTTATTACCTAAATCACCAAGTACGAGTCCAGAACGGGAATAAAGGTGAGCCCACTATCCTTATAAAACTATCCTTATACACACTATCCTTATACCCACTATCTTTATACAATAACTCACCCTATTGAACCGAGCCCCTATATTTCTGGCCCGTTTTACTTTATGATGTTATTTTTAAATCTCACGAGGCTCACGACTATTATTGCTGTAATGTCAAATCTACGTTTAATTGCATTAGAACTCTTATATTAAAATTTCAGAAAAGTTAAAATGTAACGATACTTGGTTTTAATAAATATTAGTAACACTAATTGAACTAAGGACATTAAAAAAAACATAACTGTAATCACTAAGTGTACAAACAAACGAGAAACTTGTAAAAATTACTCTAATACTTTGTATTGGACCCCCCTGCTGCTATAACTGTCTGTAGACGGGGGTTCATACTGTCAATGAGACTGCAAATATATTGTGTTATGTTTTCCCATTCTTCTTCAAGAATCAAGCGAATATTCATAATTTCGGCCATCTTCAACAAGATCAACGATTTTTACACAATGTTCGACACCAAGAACCATATTCAATCGTACACAATAATAGTCATCAAAGCCACCTCGTCATTATGAAGAATAATATCAAAAAGTAACGATAATTGAAAAAAATTGCAAAATGTTTGTGGCACGTTCATTCTTAAAAATTAACAAAGGCATGTATTGACATAAGTCAAAGAACAAAATATTCAAGAGAGATGGTTCTGACCGAAATATAATATTTTAGGAAAATTTGCTTAAGATATTATTGCACAGAATGTCTTAAAGATAGGGTAAAAAACAAATCTTCGATTAACCTTGTATACATATTATAATAAGTCCAATACTAAAGGTTAAAATAAATTGAGTTTACGAATTAAAGTTAATATATTTATATAGGTACAGTTTGCTAAAAAATGAAGGAAATAGGGATAAAAACAGAAAAAAATATTATACAGGGTGGCGCACCTCCTTCGCCTCGGTTCATTATACGAAAACGGAAAGATGTAAAAACAAAATATTTTATGGGTATATGTCTGTAATGTGCATAATTTAAAATTATTTTGAAATTTACAGGGTATGTCAGAACTAAGATCCATACCAAAGTTATATTTTTTCTTATGTAACACCCGCTATTTTATTTCATTTTTGGATTCTTGGGTCCAAAAAAAAGTATTTATTATAAGGGTTAAATATGTTTAAAATCTTTGGTTTTTGAGAAGATATTTAAATATGCATGTTTACAATAGAATAGATTAATAACACCCTCTACATTACTTTTCAGAATTAATTCTTGTTCTGAGTTTACAAGCAGAGAAATGAACTTTACTGAAAAATGTTATTGCTTCCTTAAGTTTATACAGAGGTAACAAAAATTGCTGCTGATCTATTTTAAGGATTTGTTTTATATAAAAACTTCGCTATTTCAAATGCAACACCCTGTATTTTTTTAAAGTAAATCGAAACAGATTCAAATGCTCTTTCAAACTATATTAGGGTTTCCTATATCTATCTAACTGAGATTTTGAATAAAAAGCGATTTTTCAATAAAATGGCAATCCAGATGGCTTGTGTTGCCATGGTAATTTTCTAGTGACAGTTAGTAACTATTTTCAAAAGCAACATTAGTTTATGGACATTATCATTTAGATTTATAGCAGTTTACTTAAATTTACCCAGAATAGTTTAAAAAGTATTCATTATTTTATCCAGAAAAATAAAGCAATATCTGCTCGCGGAACGAATGGATATGTTACCAGTGGTTTTATTTTGTGAGGAAAATCGCTTCTTGGCCTGAAGGGCTTATCCTCAAAGCGACTAACTGTCCTAGAAACTTTGCATGACGACACCTACTAGCCCTCTTTGTTACCATTTTATTGAAAAATTGCTCTTTATTCAAAATCTAAGCTAGATAGGTATAGGAAACCCTAATATAGTTTGAAAGAGCATTTGAATCTGCTTCGATTTATTTTAAAAAATACAGGGTGTTTTGTTTGAAATAACAAAGTTTTTATATAAAATAAATCCTTAAAATAGATCAGCAATTTTTGGTACCCCAGGATAAATTTAAGAGAGCAATAACATTTTTCAGTAGAGTTTATTTCTCTACCTTTGAACTCAGCACAAGAATTAATTCTGAGAAGTAATGTAGAGGGTGTTATTAATCTATTCTATTGTAGCATGCATATTTAAATATCTTTAAATATCTCAAAAACCAAAGATTTTAAACATAATGCTTTTTTTGGGCCCAAGAATCCAAAAATGAAATAAAATAACGGGTGTTCCATAAGAAAAAATATAACTTTGGTATGGATCTTAGTTCTAACATACCCTGGACATTTCAAAATAATCTTAAATTATGCACATTACCTTCCTACATATACCCATAAAATATTTTGTTGAGGTGCGCCACCCTGTACATTTTAAACTTGACGAAAACTTTTTGCGTTGCGTTTTTTTGCATCTGGACGTATAGGGAAATTGGAACAACTTTCGTTGCACGTCATCAATGACACCATGCGTCGTCTTATGGAGTTTGCTGGTGGTCGTATTATGATGTGCAACGGAAGTTATTTTAATTTTCCTATATTTCGTTTTTTTCCTATGTTTCATTGTATTGATTTTATTTTTCTTGTGTAATTTCAGAAAATCCCTGAACCAATACTCTGCGCCTACTCGGCTTTCAACGCCCTAGTATTCGTGCCTGCCATAATTTTCTGCAACGCCAAACCGAGAAAGCACCTCTCCGTACTGTTCCCGCACGATTGGGAGTACGCCCTTATCTTGGGCCTGTTCATGCTGGGCAACGGTTACCTTTTTAATACGGCGATAACCAACATTCCCAGGTAAGCATATCGCACACGTATTCGGGTTGAAAAGGTATTCGTACACGTTTAAGTGGATGTCGGTATGTGGTGTGGGCTTTTAACTGAAGAATTGCCACGTTATAAAGTGATAATAAATAAATATTAATAGTCTGTACAACGACTCAAGAAAGATTTCGACAAACGATGGCAAAAAAGGCAGAAGACCACTCTACCATTTTTTTTGCTAAAAATAACCGAATTTATCTAACTTACCTATCTATGTATGGATTTATATACCGAGTATTTCTCTAAAGTTTAAAAAAAATATTAAAAATACAAGAAGTGTTCTGAACTCAAAACTATATTAGGTATTTACTTTAGATGGTCTGTACTTACTTTGCTATAAATATGAATATCGTAAATCATACGGGATGTTCAAAATTCTACGGCAAACTTTCTAAAATATGAAATAATTTTTCTTCGTTTTTTTAAATGGAACACCCTGTATATTATTTTTTCAATAAACGGATAATTAAAAAATGAAATTTTTTTGTATTTAAAGTATTTCAAAATTTTTAACGGTTTCGCAGATATTTGGAGTTTTATATTTCATATGGCATTTTCCACAGTAAATTTTTATCAAAGCCACCCAATGATTTTTCTCTCGTATTTTACCATTGAAAGCGCCATATGAAATAATACTGCGTGTATCTGCAAAACCGTTAAAAATTTTGAAATACTCTAAATACATAAAATGTTCATTTTTAAACTCTCCATCTAATAAAAAAATAATATACACGGTGTTCCATTTAAAAAAACAAAGAAAAAATATTTTATATTTTAGAAAGTTTGGCGTAGAATATTGAACATCCTGTATGAATTACGATTATTATTATTTATAGCAAAGTAAGAACAGACTATCTAAAGTAAATACCTAATATCGTTTTGATTTCAGAACAGTTCTTGTATTTTTAATAATTTTTTTTAAGTAGGGCTGAAAAATATATATTTTTGATTTATTTTTTAATATCTCTGAAACTATGGAAATATATTTATTCATATCTTAGGGTTATCTAAAGTGATCTGAAAGGAAGCCAAAAATGCAATAATATAGAGGGTGCTCCATTTAAAAAAAATCATCCAGGTCCGCTCACACTTTTGAGCCACCTTATAGAAGTTAAAATATTTTCCTGAAATACATCCTGGTACATACTTTAGGTTTGCACTAAAACAAAATTCTCAAGTTTTTTATTCTAGGAGCTACAGATGCCCGACGCACTATTGCGGGACCCTGTATACATATTATTTTAAAAAGCTTATTCTAATTCTAAGTCTATTTCTTTTTCCAGGAAAACGACCAAAGAAGAATCAGAAGTGGCTTTTAATATATTTAACTTATTTGTTGGTGTAGCTCAAATGATATCTAATCCTGTTGGATTGTTATTTGTGAAATTGTTATAATTTATTTTATTTATTTATTGTACTTTTTAAACGTATAGAATCTAAGATGTTTTTAATAAAAACTAATATTATTGTAAATATGTTTTTTTTAATGTCCTTTGATTTTTTATTATTTTTGCATGCAAATATTACTCCCATTCCGCATAATAGTTGAATATGACAGAAGATTATGGAATGACATGTTGATTATAATGTCAATAGCTAGTACTTCCGAGTTTTAATATTTAGTTATCAACTTTATACAGATCATTAAATGTTTGTTCGTGAATTTGCATTGTGAGACCTGTTTAAATAAGCTCCAGAAATATTCACTTTTGCATAAGTGAGCTTCAGATTAATTGATGAACAAAAAATATATTTATCTTATACATTATTAATCAATTACAAGAAAACAGTGTTGGTATTTTAACATATTCTCACTTACACGTAGGCTCAGTACAACTCAAACAAACTCGTGTTAATAAATATTCTATGGCATTTTAAAAGTAATTTACGACACAGCTATTAAACGGCGAAAAAAATCCAACCTTGTTTATATTACTTTTAAAACAAACGGAATTATTTTCATTTCTATTAAAATATCACAGATATAGTAGGGGAGCTCAAGCGGGGATTTTGGGATTTACTCAAGCGCGGCAGGATAACTGCTAAGGGGATTATAAGAGGAGGAACTTTGCACCCTATTAGCTTCACCCACCCATACATGAACCAGGGTTGCGCGTGTAGGGCTGCCGTTAAGCCGGTCCTACACAGTGCTCCCAATGTTGGTTCCAACGTTGGAACCAACGTTGGACGCAACATTTGGCATATGCTTCGACAATATTGCAATTCACAAGTGTGTCTCCTACACAATGTGGCAAATGTTCATGTGTCCAACGTTGGAAGGTGTTTGACACATCGTGTGGGATGGGCGTTATATGGAATGTTATGGGGAATGCGTTATGGGGAATATCAGAAACACGTGGGACTCTGCACTATTAATATATAGACGGAAATGCCTAAATATAGCTTCACAATTCCCCACCAGTAAAAAGCATATATCATATAAACTTTTTACACAAAAAAGTTGATGCAAAGGATAGATATTAAATGCAATAATTGATCTTTTGTTCCATTTTTACGCTCACTGAAATCTAAAATGGTAATTTAGTATAACACAAATTTGGATTGGGCATAGGAATACCTTGCATACCTATCTAGTTTACGGCTGAATGCTATCAACAAACACCATATAAATATGATAAACATATTCTATCTTTATTAACATGATTCACTCCAATATTAATGAGAATTCTTTTTTTTATTAAATTGAACTCAAAATATTGTAGTACTGCTCTGCAAATAGGGGGTTCCCAGGCGTCCATGCTTTTAAATCTACAAAGAAAATGTAATTAAGTATGATGTCTATCAATTTCTAAAAAAATATTCGAATACATCGGGTGGCTCACCCTTATAACTTTTTTATTTTTTCAGATAAAAAAACGAGATTTGGTATGTTAGTATATGATATAAATTAGGATTGATTGACGTATTCAATTGTTTTCGGCCACTTCCTGCTTTACCGGAAACGCCTACAACTCTTGATTTTTAAATGGCACCCTCGGTATTTTTTTTACTTTATTCGGTAGACAATAACACTTTGAATAGAATGACACAACATATGTCAATAATTTTGACATTTTCGCATATGGTTTATTTGAAATTGTAACATGCGGTTCACAACTACAATTTGAATTGAAATCATGCTAATGAGCCACCTTCGTTCCATTTGAAAAAAATTGAACATATTTTTCCAAGACATCTCGATTTGTGTTTTTAACACAGCAATGGCAATCTAGATTGAAATTTAAAATACAATTTTTTCTAAGCGAGAATGTCAAAAGTTGACATAGGATATGTCATTCTATTTATTATGTCATTCTATTCGTGAGTGTCATTTTCTATCGAATAAGGTAATGCCATACCAAGGGTGCCATTTAAAAATCAAAAGTTGTAGTCATTTCCGGTTAAACAGGAAGTGACCGAAAACAATTGAATACCTACGTCAATTAATCCTAATTTATGTCATATACTAACAAACCAACGGTAGAGCAAAACAAAGGTGAATGATAACTTTTTTGATGATTTTTGGAGATGTATTGCTAGCTTTTTTTTGATAAGGGTATGTTTTATGCTATTAAAGAGAATCAATCACTTTTGGGAATGCATGATTTTAGACTTATTTTTTCTTTCATGGTCGATTGTACGATAATGTACAACTTCTAACAACACTGGCTCTCTTACTAATACCACACTTACTTCAGTACAAATCGCCAGCTCGTACGCGTATATAAATATAGGCCATAACGAGGTAGCTGGAATTCACAATAACAGAAAACATTTTTTTTGTCTCTAGCATTGAATTGCGCGAGAGCAAGATAGATAAATCTAACTGCTTCGAGTTACCTTGACCTTTGGAGAACTGTAAAAGTAGTCTAGAAATCGGAACTCTACTTAGATGGATAGATGAAAAGTCAGGATTAATTAGATTACAGGGTTTGTATAACAATTAATGCATAAATATGGCTGGAACGTTGACTGGTAGAGAGGTTTGACGCTACGCAGTGAGAGCAAATGCTGGTAATGATAGTAAAAAGTAAACTGTATCGAAGAAGGAATTCTCCTAGGTGACACTTCCTCCCTCTTCCTACTTTTCTATGAGAGTATTGTGACATTATGAAGCAATCGCACCTGTGCTATAATTTTCTTTATCTGGTCCACCCAACGCGCAACGGTTTGGAGATCTCCCTCTAGGACGTTTCTCGTTAACTTTTTCCTTCATGATTCGTTTTTCTATGCTATTCGTTTTTCTATGTTTTCCTGGTTATGTGGCAAAAGTATGTTAAATAATATCAGTGTATCAGTATCTTGAAAATATTGGTTGTACGTTGCATTGCCAACTTCACGTTCCAAGTTTCCGAGGTATTAGTAGGTAGTCTTAGTATGGTCTTAGTATGTTGCTAAGTAAAACGGCTGAATTTTTCAACGACTTATTAAGTTTGGTCATGGAATTGCGTGCTATCCAGTCTTCTTTTGATTTCTGCATAGCATGCTTCTTTGTTTGAGATAAATACACATGGTGTCCCAGGCTGAACGTACATTAGAAGTGTCTAGAGAACTACAATATCTATATCGGATATTCTTTGCACATCAATGTTTCACAATGAGATCTATCGATTAAAATAATTTCAATATGGCGGCACCTCCGGAAACACCGGAAGTTGACAGCAACTTCCTTATTTTAAGTAGATACCGCCATTTTTTTGTTTTCTTATACGAAACACTCTATACCTAATATTAACCGTTTTTGAGAAAAAAAAATATTTAAAATTATTGGAAGAAATAAACTGCCTGTCAAAGAAATTTGTATAGCCTAAACGTCAAATTTAGTGATTACCAAAGCCATTAGGACATAAAGAGAAGACATGGGCTATCTATTTCAAAAATTAAATTGTTTTAATGTCATATAATATTGGCCATAGCTGCTATGGAATTGAAAGATTAAAAAATTATCATAATTATTTTTTTTTCAAATGGAAGCCCACTTTTTTTATTTTGCAAGTGAAAAGGCTTTTCAATCCATTACTTTTTGATTATACATGTTCCTATACCTAAAATAAATCGTTTTTAAGTTATTTAAAATTTAGTTTTAAAGCGTATTTTTTTCTTGATTTTATCTAGCTGCCTTTGACATAAAGTGTCAAACCATCAGACAATTTATTTCCTTCTGTCAAAAAAACTAATTATGTAAATTTCGTATATATTATAAATACTCCTGCTAAAACTTTATAAAGTGGATTTATAAAAATTCACTCGTATTTTAGTGATATCTAATAGCAATATGACACGGCCAGATATAGTTTTACATCGCTTGACGTTTAAGGTCATAGGCTACAGCTTCATTCAGAACCTCGCAATTAGTGGAATAAATTAGTGGTTTCAATTAGCGTAGAAGTTTATTCCTTTGATTTCAATGTAAGCATTCGCAACGTCGAAATTAGTGGTAGACATTTTCAATTAGTAGAAAAAATTATCAAACTTTTAACTTTTTCATTAATTATACTTCCAAATTTGCGAGAAATGTCATTTTGGCCTTTATTTATCTTCTGTCAAGAGAAATTGTGGGTAGAAATCAAAAGCTGATTGTTTTATAAGCTAACTATTAGGCTAACTCTATGGATACAACTGATTACCGCAAGCTGTTGCTAGGATATTCTATTAATTTTAATTGTGTTTTTTTAAACATTGTGAATGATTGTAAACTAAAAAGTATAAAGTGTAATAATTACACTTAATAAATTAGTGGTTTCAATTATTAAAACCACTAACTTATTCCACTAATTTCCATGTTCTGAATGAAGTTTACTGGTTACAAACCAGAAAAATATACGCTTTAAAACTAAATCTTAAATAACTTAAAAACGATTTATTTTAGGTATAGGAACATGTATCAAAAAATAACGAATTAAAAGCCTTTTTTATTAATGAAATAAGAAAGTAGGTTTTCAATTAAAAAAAAAAAAGATTTATGATTGTTTTTTGTTCTCAATTCCATGACAGCTACGGCCGATATTATATGACATTCAAACAATTTCATTTGTGAAATAGTTTTTCCTCCAAAAATTTTAAATATGTTTTTTTCCCAAAAACGGTTAATGTTAGATATAGATGAGTGTTTATTATCAAAATTCACATAAAATTTTACAGAGAATTTAAATATGTCATAAAAATAGTGCCAGTTTAAAATAAGAAAGTTGCTGTCAACTTTCGGTATTTCCGGAAGTGCCGCCATATTGAAAATATTTTAGTCGGTAGATTTCGTTGTGAAACAATCATATGCAAAAAATCTCCGATATAGATATTGTAGTTCTCTAGAAACTTCTAATGCATACTCAGCCTGGGACACCCTGTATACAGAGTGTGGGTAATAATGCCCAATAAAAAGTTTGGTGTAAATTTCCAGGAAAATGTAAAAAATAAAAATTTCCGACATTTTTTTACAAAAAAGATCGGCGTGATTCTGAAATCCAATTAGAATA